CCCCGCCCGGCCCGGCCCCCGGCCCGGCAGCGGCACCGCGGGGTCCCCCCGCCTGCCCCCCACCCGCTGGAGCAAAGGTAGGGAGGGCATGGCCGGATCCAGGCGGGGCACAGGCAGGGCCGGGCCCCATGTGGGCAAGACACGGTCAGAGCGAACCAACGCACAGCCAGGAGACAGCCAGGGAAGGCAGGGTATGGCCAGAGAAGGCAGAACATAGAGCCAGGCAAGGCACGGTCAGACCGAACTAGGGCACAGGCAGGACACGGCCAGAGAACGCAGGATACAGGCGAGGATCAGCCAGGAGCTGTGGGGACAGCCACATCCAGGCTGGGCAGAGGCAGGACACAGCCAGAGCAGGCAAGAGCAGAATCCCCTGCAGACCTGACAGGGCACAGGTCTGTGCCTACTCCCCTGGCCCCAGAGCCTTGTCTCAGCCCCAACTCTGCAAGAGGGGTCCCAGCCCCAGCTCCAACTCAAACACCGCACCCTGGTGCCCCCGGGGCTGTTCCCATGCTCAGCACAGCCCCTACCCAGCCAGCCCACTGCTCCCCTAGCCCTTGGGAGGCACCCAGGGGCCCAGCATCACTGTGCTGGCCCCTGCATGTCACCACAAGCACCAGGCTGGGGGAAAGCTTTGGCTGATGCTCCCTGACCTGCCTTCTCCAAAGGCAGAGGCAGCACTGGATTTAGCATTCCAGGTCATCACTGCTTGCCCAGACTCTTTCTGGAGCTGTTTGACCATCCAGGATCTCACTGTGCTGAGTCCCCATCAGTCCAATGCTGGCAGCCCAGCATTCCTGGGCAGTTATGTAAATTCAGGACAGGAGATGACAAGGACTCGCAGGGATGGGCTCAGTACAGGGGTGCCTCTAGAGCACCACCTCGAGTAACAACCCCACTGCCCCGTGCCTCAGTTTCCCCACCATCAGCTGCTGTGCTTGCAAGCTCTGGGTTAGGGCATTACAGCAAGAGTCAGGACCTGCTCTGTCCCTGCCCTGCCCCAACGCTCCTGATTTGAGGGTGGGGGCAATAACCCAGGACCTCTGTGGCAAGGACACCAGGATGCTGGGCCCCACCAGCCCTTCTCCCCTCATGACTGTTAGCACAGAGTAAGGCACCTGGGAGAGGAGGGTGCCTGGGCTGGGGGACCTGGGTGGACAGATTGCCAGGGAGGGCTGGAGACATGCCGTGCTGATGGATGCTGGCACCACCAAACTCCTGCTTCCCCCCCCCCAGCAGACGGGCCCTGGCACAGGCCCGGCACGTGCCCGGCACCAGCTGCATCCCGCCGGCTGCTGATTCGGCGCCGCTGACAGCAGGAGGATGATGGTGAAGCCTCCCTGCTCCCCATCTTCTGTGAGGTTAGGGGACAAATGGCGTTAGGATCCACTGCCTGGCTTCAAACCCCCCCAGAGCCTCAGCCAGGCATAAATATTTCAGGGGGCTTGGCAGTTCTGTAATAACCAGCAACAAAGATAAACACTGGGAAGAGCAATATTTTTCCATGTGGGCTGGAGGAGTTTAATATTTTATCACTCAGAGCACAAAATATTTATGAACAATCTCCTGTCAATCACTGACTGAGGACTAATTGTGACCTTTCCAAGCCAGAGAGGACATGTCCCCACCATGGAGGGGCAGCCATGGTCCCTTGTACCTTGCCCCCACCCCAAGCCCAGCCGCTGTGTAACAAACCCTGGGCTGTTGGAGGTACCAGGGGCACTGGGACAGGGGAGGGGCTGACCTCTGCCAGCTGGGTGATGTGCTCCTGCACCCTGCATTGCCCCAGGGCATCGTGGTGGTGATGTCCAGGCTGCTCCCTCATCCCCAGCTGGTGAACAGGGAACTGGAACAGCATGGGTGCCCTCCCTGCCTGCACTCCCAGGGCTGTGGGACCAGGCAATGCCACAGGAGGAGCACAGTGGTGCCAGTCCCACCAGCAGCACAGGGACCTGGCTTTACTGGTTTTACATCCATCAGGTTACCAACAGGAGCGGGGATGTCACCTCTCTCCAGCTCAGCAGAGTGACCGGGACCCCTTCCCACTCCTCCCACAGCCTGTGTGTGGGGGCCACCAGCTGCCCCCATCCACAGCCCACTCCTCACCATGGGGCAGGACGGCGCAGTCGGCCAAGAGGCAGTCAGCAACACCATGGCCACCAGGGAGGAAAAGCATCCACTTTATTACAGACCCCAAAAGCGCCCGTGGCACTGCCAGGAGGGCCAAGTGTACACGGGATGTTTCCATTTTTCAGCGAGGGGAAGAGAAGAGGGGAACAAACCCAACCAACCCTACTCACGGCTCTTTGGTGCTAGAAAACACGTGGCAGTGCAGCACAGAGAAGCTGTGGGTGAGAGGGGCACCAGCAGAGACTAGGGGGAGCACCTCTGCCATCCACCACCACCCCCCTGAGACCTCCGCGGGGAATTGGCGACACATCTAGAGACATACAAACAGCAAACGGATTTTGCTGCCCCACCCCAGCCTACACTTACCCCATGCCACTGAGTGCTGCAGGAGACCCCCCCACTGCTTTCTGGCATCCTCAAAACAGTCTAGCACCCTTTCTACAAAGAAGAAGAGCAGGTCCCAGGGGGAATCAGCAACCAAAATCTCTTGGCTGGAGAGGAAGGAGGTGGGGAAGGTGACCAGTTGCCAGTAACTCAGACCCTGGTGGGAAGTGAGGCAGCCAGGCCCCTGCTTCACTCTTCTCCTCTCTCGGCAGCAATGGGCTCCTTGGTCCACTTGTCTGTGACTTCCTGGTTGCCTGCATAGCCCATGTCAGGCAGCAGGCCTGGGGCTCCCTCCCCGTCCCCGGTCACCTCCAGGTCCAGCTCCTCGAAGGAGGAGCCGCTGGCTCCCGACTCACTGTAGCTGTGCTCACTGCGGTTGTCCACTTCCTCCCGGCCACGGCTGGCTGGGAAGGGCAGCAGGATGGAGGTGGCCACTGAGGTGTCTCTGCTGTCAGTTGTGGCCTCTATGCTGATGGAGCTAGTCTCACTCATGGTGTCAGCCCCTGGGATGGAGAGAGAACAGGAGGGAGTGAATGCTGAGGGAAGGAAGCAATGGGAAAGGGGTGCCAGTCTTCAAAGCCACCAGAAACCTCATAGATGTCAGGCCACAGTGGAGATCAGCTCCTATCTCTTGTCACCTCCTGTGCCTTTGAGAAGTGACAGGGCCACGACACCTATGAGCTGGACTCAAACAGCTCCCTGAAATCCTGGCATCCCCCAAGCCAGCACAATCCCCAGCCTCCCAGGCATATCCTGGCCCCACAGCTGCTCTCCATGCCCACCTTGAGGACCTGGCAAGCCCCTCCTTTGGGACAATGCCCAGAACCCCTCTTGCAGCCAAGCCCACCAGGGGGCTTCCCCTGCCTGCCCAAGCAGAGCCCTGGTCCCACCACCTCCTCCCAGGATCCCTGCCTCATTAGCTCAGTTTACAATGCAATTTAGGAGTCAACAAGATGAGCATGTCAGATTGGGACCAGCAGCTCGGTGCTGTTGCTTGAGCAACCATCCAGGAGACAAAACCCTCCTGTAAAACATTAATTACTGTTAATTATGACATCAAGATCCACGTGGTTAATTATGACATCATAGATCCACATCGCTGATTATGACATCACATATCCATGTTGGCAATTATGACAACAGCAGCAAACACACTGGGTAGGCTACACCATCCAGGTCCTCCCTGCTTTGCCTTCCTCCTGCCTGACTCACACTGGTGGGAAGCTCCTGCCAGGCTCAGCCACTTCCCAGCACCTCTGCTCCAGGGACTCCATCCATGCTGGACCAGACAGTCCTGCTGAGGATCATGCCCTGCACCACGAGGAGCTCTGCTCAGCAATGGCACTGGTGGAGGATTGTGGCTTGCCACCAGCAGGGCCAGGAAATGGCAAAGAGGGTGGGGACAACTGCAGAAGGGCTCCAGGCAGGAGAGGACAGCACCCTCCTTCACGCTGGCTCCTGCCAGCACAGCTCCATCCCCAGCCATGACACGGGGCTGTCCCAGGATCCCAGAGCCATCTTTAGCCTCCCCAAACTCCTGCAGCCAGGGTGACCAGGGCTGGGCTGCTCACCCTCCTCCAGCTTCCCGGCAGCCACTGATATCCTGGAGGAGACCCACCAGGGAGGGAACTTTCCTTAAATCCTTTTTTTTTTTTCTGTTTTTCTTCCCAGCCTGGGCAGCTGCCAGCAGAACTGCTTGCAAATGGCAGTTCTCTGCCTTCAGAGCTGCATCATCCCACAGTCCTGCCTGCTGAGAGATGGCTGCTTGGAGAGGACCAGGCAGCAGTAGCAGGACAAGAAGCAGCCGGGAAAGACCCACAGACACAGCACGGCCTCCGCTTCAGACCACCTGGATGGTGCATGGGCTTCATCCTGCCCAGCAAGCACCTGGAGAGGAGCCTGCCCTCCACCCTCTGTCCTTGGCCATGGCACGCAGCCCCTTCAGCAGCTGGCACAAGCCAAGCCCTGGGCTGCCCACCCAAGTGATGCCTGGTGACCCCCACATGAATCGGAGGAAGGAACCATCACGCGCTGACACGCACCGCCCTTGCTGCAGCAGCAGGGAGCTCCTCGACATGGAAACTACATTTACTCTAAGTTAAAAAGGATGTTCTGCAGGCTGCTGGTGAGGCGCTCGCCAAAGGGGATGGCAGCCACAGATCAGGTGGCAGAAAGGCAGGAGATGCTGTCCCACCCGGCAGGACCTTGGCAGGGCAGTGGGTCAGCAGGGAGCCTCTAGGAAGTTGGAGAGCTGTGGGGAATGGAGGGGAGCATGTGGCCCCTCAACCTTGAAGCCAGCCAAGGGTTTGCAAGGTCTCTAGTGGGGATCTCAAAAAAAAAACCCCAAAACAGGTGGCCTCAGGTGACATGGACACTTCCGCACTATGGCTTCATGACAGCTCACACCATTCGTCGTCATCTTGCATCCCTCTGAAACCTGGTAAAGGTGTGATCTTGACCCCAAGGCCATTCCCTGCATGTGCAGCACTCCTCCCTTCTGTGTCACTCCAGCTGGGAAGTAGTCACATAATCCCGTGCCACAAAGGAAAGAAGCTTGTGAGAAGAGGAGCAGCATATCAAGAAGGGGAAGATGGGGGTGAAACCTCCTCAAGCCCAGCTCCAAGCTGCCACCACAGGAAAGCACTGTTGTCCTCACCCCCAGCAGCCACCTCCCTCTCCCTCACTCCAAGGGTGACAATAAACCGAGTCCTGTTTCCTTTAAGCCAGATGCTTTTTCACTGCTCTGTCATTTCTGATCACATTTGAGCAGCCTCAGCTGGCAAATTCACCCATTTTAGCAGGACAAGCTACACTTGCTGTGCCATGGCCACCTAGCCTGGCTGGGGATGGATGGCCGTGGCAGACAGGGCTGAGAGATGGAGCCACTGCTGCTTGGGACAATGTGGAGTCAGGGGGACATGGCAGGAACCCCCAGTTATCCCAGCACAGCCCTGAGAGGCCAGGCAGGGCATCCAAGAAGGCAGCCAAAGCCTCACTGGAAGGTGCCTTGCTGGCAAGCAGGGGTTCAGCTCTCCTCTCAGAGGCATGGAGGTTTCTGGCAGTCCTCACACCCGCTTCTCCATCCTGCCCCAGGTACCTTGCTTGGTCCCCAGCATCTTGCTGCTGCCCATTCCCTGCATCCCACTTCCCAGGGCTGGTGCCTGCACCAGGAGGCAGCCCAGATCCAGCACAGCTTTTCCCTCTGGCATGCAGTGAGGTGCCAGCCATCCTGTGGAAACACATCCTTTCTGCCCTGCTCCCCCAAGGACAGCATAGCCATCCCACTGCATGTTCACTCATCAGGAATGTGGAACCTGGAAAGTTTTGATTTGGGAAAAAGAGGCAAAGCCTGGGGTGAAGCCCTGCTGGGATGTTGAGAAGCCCCCTTAAATGCCAGGGCCACCAAAGAAGAAGGAAAGCCAAGCAGCCAACACCAAGGTGCCTGCCAGGGATGGGTGCAACAGGAGCCACTCAGTCTGCACTGGTAACGAGCCAGCCCCTCAGGCAGCTCAGCCCTGTGCCACTCTGGGTACCAGCATCTCCAGATCTTCCCAGGAAGGAGGGTCATTTTCCCTCCCGCATTGCTCCAGCGGGACACTGATGCCCAAGTGTCGCTCTCCTCTTGGAGCACCCGGGTCCTCACTTTCCCCCCTCTTCAATCAAATATTCATTGTCTCTGCCGCTAAATAATAGATCAGTGCGGTGCCGGGGGGGCCCAGCTCCTCCT